CTCTCTGCCTCTCCTCCTCTCTCTGCCTCTCCTCCTCTCTCTGCCTCTCCTCCTCTCTCTGCCTCTCCTCCTCTCTCTGCCTCTCCTCCTCTCTCTGCCTCTCCTCCTCTCTCTGCCTCTCCTCCTCTCCTCCTCTCTTCCTCTCGTCCTCTCCTCCTCTCTGCCTCTCCTCCTCTCTCCCTCTCCTCCTCTCTCTGCCTCTCCTCCTCTCCTCCTCTCTTCCTCTCTTCCTCTCCTCCTCTCTGCCTCTCCTCCTCTCTGCCTCTCCTCCTCTCTCTCCCTCTCTTCCTCTCTTCCTCTCCTCCTCTCTGCCTCTCCTCCTCTCTCCCTCTCCTCCTCTCTCTGCCTCTCCTCCTCTCCTCCTCTCTTCCTCTCTTCCTCTCCTCCTCTCTCCCTCTCCTCCCCTCTCCCTATGAAAGCACTTAGAATTATTTAACATTAACACACTGGGCTTCTTGGTTTGTTTAACCAATGTTCCTTCATAGCAAATATGTAATTTTCTCAGCTCTGGAGATTGTAGGTCCAATATCAAGAATAGTGATTTCTGGTAAGGACTCAATTTCTGGTAAAGCTGGCTGCCTTTTCAATGTGTTCTCACATTATTAAGGAATCTCTCTCTCTCTCTCTCTCTCTCTCTCCCTCTCTCTTTCTCTCTCCTCTCCTCTCCTCCTCTCCTCTCCTCCTCTCTCTCCTCCTCTCCTCCTCTCCTCCTCTCTCTGCCTCTCTGTCTACTCTCCTGTCCCCAGAGGCCAGTCTCCCCTCACCTCTCCCCCTACCCCCCCCTTTTCCATTCCCTTCCCCCAATTTAAAAAACAAAACAAAACACTCCATGTGATCTATGTCACATGGCATCCTTCTTTCTAGCACCACTTTTTAAAATTGCAACATTGGTTCCCTAATTGGGAAAGGCTCTCCTGAAGCTTCCTCCTGCCTGCAGGCAGTTTGAGGCGTGTCAGGACCCAGGAACCTGGCCCACATACACCAGCCCCACTTCTCCCAGAAGGCTGGGTCCTTCCATCCAGCACTGGCATGACTGGTGAGCCACTTCCCCTTTCCCACGAATGAGGGCTCCTCTCTCAAGCATGGTCTCTCGCCTTTTGTCCTCGTTAAGCCCTGGTACCAGGCAAGCACAGCTCTCTGGGGCCCAGAGCCTTGCCCCTCCCCCCCCTTTTCGTGATGACTCACTGGGTAGCCTGTGCCTTCCTAGTTTCTCAGACCCTCAAGTTCCTTCAGGCTTTGCCCTTTGGCCCCACACCCTGATTGGCGGATCACTGAGCAGCTTGTGCCGTTGTCACTCAACCCTCGCTTGATAAAAGCCTTTGGATCTTGTTCACTCATGGGGAGCGAATGAGCTTACCAAAAATCCACCTCCTGGCCTTTTATATCCTGATAGTTTATGGGTCCTTTACATTCTGCCAGCGATCTCCGAGGATGGAAGAAGGTGTTGCCCTTCACTCTTGCGCTTTTCCCTTCCCCCAATAGACCTCTCACACTAACTTTGTTGTGTGTGCCATGTTTGCTTAGTAACAGAGCCCACTGAAAGGTAATCACTTCACGCTGGGCCCCCACCCACCTGCTCCACCTTCTATAGGTCCGTTCTCTTCCACCTGCAACAAATCTGCTTTCTCGTTCACTGGAGGTTTCACCTTCTACTCAATATGTCAGTTGGGTCTCTGGTGGGCTACCCTACCCACCTCTGACCATTCCCTTGGATGTGAGGCTTTATTTCTCAAGCACGGTCCTCTCCTCACCTTCTGGCTTTTCTCCGAGTCCTGGTACCAGGTGACTGTGTCTCTCTCAGGCTCAGATTGGCTCCTGTTCTGCGTTTGACAAATCACTGAGCAGCCTGTGCCTCTTGATATCGGCCCTCTCTGAATTCCTGGGACGCTAGGAATTGCAGACCCTTGGGTCTGTCTTATCTGCCTCACTCATGGGAGCTGTGTCATTGCCCGTACCTCCTTGCTCCTGTTGGGATGTTTTTTGGAGACCCCCTGACCGTTCCTAACTAGCTGTTGTTGCAGGACTTCCAGCTGTTGGCCCCAGAGCTGGGGGCACAAGACGTCCAAACATACCCAGCGATGGTGTGGGGATGGGAAAGGATCAGGGGCTTTAAGCCCTGGGGAGTCGACTTGGATCCAAGAACATCATTTTGCCAGCTCCGGTGGTGCCCGATGGTTTCACAGAGCCTGGACAGTGAAGTGAAACAGCCAGCTACTCCAGGACATGCCAGCACCCCAGTTTTCCCAGGTCCCCTAAAGATGAAGGATGCCCCCAAGGTCAACAGGAAGTAGTCTCGAAAACATGGCATCCTGACCTGCTACCCCTTTCTAACTCCTCACCTTTGTATAACAAACAAAAAGGAGGGATGTTAGTGTTCAGGCATCTGTGCTGGCCTGCCCTTGGGGTCCTGACAGGATACTCCCTCAGCTGCAGCCACTAAGAGCACCACCTGTGCACATTCACTGTGTTCCCTTTTAAAGGGGCCCTGCCTGCCTCCATATTTCTTTTTCTCCCTCTTTGTTCCTCTCTCTCTGTGTCTCTCTGTGTCTCTCTCTCTCTGTGTCTCTCTGTCTCTCTCTTTCTCTCTCTGTCTCTCTCCGCCTCTCTTCTCTTCTGCCGCTTCTGTCCCCAGAGGCCAGTCTCCTCCCTCCCCCCTTTTCCATTCTGTCCCCCCAATAAAGAATCCCTCCACGTGAGCTCTGTCTTTCTCTCTTGTGCTGCTTTTTAAAATCATAGCTGTCCCGTCCCAAAGTGGCTACACAGTGTTACGAATGCCCAGCTGTGTCCTCTAACTTACTCTAAGTAGAACGAGCAAAGGAGTGGAGCTCCAGGGGAACACTGGAATCTTAACTGCCACCAGTAAAGCCCATCGGCAGTTGGTGACTATCAGGCTTCCTTCTGTCTTGGACCAAGTGATATATTAGCAATGCATCATGTGCTCATACATTCAAGGCACACTTTGTGGGACTCTCCCTTATGAGAGGGTAGTTTAGAAGTTGTGAAAATATATTTTAAAATGTTGGTTCAACTTATAGGAGCGTTTATCTTCACGTGACTGTCAGATGATATATTATTCATACTGTTGTCTTCACTTTGAATTTGATGGACTCTACCCACAGTCACTCAGCTAAAAAGGAATAAGCAGGATTCACTGTACAATGCTTTGACTTGTAATTTTCTGCTCATTCCTTATACCAAGAATCACCATGTCTTCAAAGCAGTTGTAGACTGTTGGGGTGTTTGTAGATAGCAGCTGGGGCCTTTAGGCTCCAGGAGTAGCAACAACAGAAATACCAGGCCCAAGAGCTGCAGGAGACACTCAACCCAGAGACTTCTTAGAGCCAGAACCAATCCAGGAGGCTCCAGAGGTGGAAGCCAGGCCACAGGAAATCAGAGAACAGTGTTAGTTCCTCTGCAGGCTTCCAGCTCTCCCATTAAGCTCACTGTGTAACTTTGTACAAGTCACTTGTTTTCCCTGGCTCTGACTTCCCAGCTAGAAAGAGACTTCCTAAGGGCCCCGTGAGTTCTTTTCAGTGTTTGTTCTGTAGCTGGGATGGGGATTATTCTCCTCCTGATGAATCCTCTCTGAGAATGTAGCCAGCCTTCTCACCTCATAGGATGTCTCACTTCCCAGAGCATCTCCCCAGGCAGTCTTGATTTGTTGTCTCTCTACCAGCCTCTCCTAAACAACTTTCTCTCTTTGCTTGCTCTAATTTCCTAATGTCCATCGAAACCATAGAAGGAAATTGAACACAGAGCATCTGCTATGGGTTGACTGGGACAGAATGGAATAGGTTCTTAGCTCATTGATTCTGTACACGACTCCAGCCTCTAACCCCGTAGTAGTTCTTAACCTTCCAAACGCTGTGATGCTTTAATATATTCATCGTGTTGTGGTGACCCTAACCATAAAATTTATCATTGTTATTGCGTAACTGTAATTTTGCCACTGTTATGAATCATGATGTAAATATCTGTTTTCTGGTGGTCTTATGTGACCCCCACGTAAGGGTTGTTTTGACAACCCCCTTAAGGGTCATGACCCACAGGTTGAGAACCCCTGTGTAACCTTAAGTGTTGTGCTCACTTGGCAGTCCATCTCATCTGTACACTCCACGAAAGCTTGAGCCTTTTTTCAGTAGTGTAAAACTAAACTTAACAGGCAAGAGGACTTAGCTGGAGGGTCACACAGCATAGCGATGGCTGCAGCCTGGAGTGCCATCAGGCCACCACTGACTTCAAGGAGCACCACTAACTAAACAGCCTGAAATCATTCTCTTTCAGTGTCTAGAAGAGCAAACATCAGACCTGCTGTTGAGTCTCTGCCGGCTACGGCCCCCCTGAATGTCTGCTTTCTCTGTCTCTTTCCCTGCCTGGCTGGGCTTTGCACCTGAGATGTCTTTTGGTTGATTAATAACAAAAATAGCAATGAGGTTTTGTGTGTGTGTGTGTGTGTGTGTGTGTGTGTGTGTGTGTTATACTAATTTCTATAAGTCATCCTTGAGAACAGAACTTGTGTTTTATGAAATCTGAACACTCAGACGAGGGCTGTGGGAAATTGAGACCAAACTGCAGAAGACTGTTACCCCTAAGGAGCTTCGTATGTAGAAGACACAGATAAAGCATAGATAAGACAGCTGGCCCCAGGAAATCTTTCAGAATCCCCACAAGGTCAGGAGGGCAACATTGGTGCCTCCATCTTACTGTTGGAGAAACTGAGCATCAATGTCCTAAGTGGCAGAGCCAAGAGACAAGAGTCTGGACCAGAACCCAACCAGGAATTCAGACCCCCAGCTCAGACCTAATTAAGTGAAATAAGTTTTCCAGCTGTTGAGTTATGGTCTGAAATGCCTGATGACCCTTTCCCTTCTATGAACGTCACCCCCACCCCACCCCCACCCCTGTGGTTGAAAGGATACACTATCCTTGCCCCATGGCAGCTGCCTCCAGCTCACTTACATTTTACTTATTTACATGTGTTTCTCTCTTTTCTCCTCCAGGTTGTGATCAATTATTCAATCGTGAAAGGGCTGAAGTACAATCAGGCAACACCCACCTTCCACCAGTGGCGAGATGCCCGTCAGGTCTATGGCTTAAACTTTGCAAGTAAGGAAGAGGCAACCACTTTCTCCAACGCGATGCTCTTTGCCCTGAACATCATGAATTCCCAAGAAGGAGGTAAGCAGGGCCTTATCTTTACTGGATGCCGAGACTCACTCTCTCTCTCTCGTTCTGTCTGTGTCCAAGCTCTAGTTATCTAGTTATCTGTGTCCTGACATTGCTACTTCATTTATTGACATGATGGAGAGCCTCAAAAGCCTGCTGCTTGGCCTGAGGTTTGCAGGAATCACTAAGGATAAGGAAGAGGGGATAAACTGTCCTGTGTGAGGTACAGGTTTGTACTAATGTGTCCTGGAGCCCTCTGTGAGACATGTTTTATGTTGGCCATCCTATTGCTATGCTCCAGAACACATAGCTGACAAGAAACTGGCTAGACAGAATAGGTAAGGAGTGAATGGAGCCCTCCCTCAAGGCATGTTAGAAACTAGAGTTCACGGGTTCATGAAGAGCTACCTTTAATGTTCTGCAGCGAGCACTGGAGTAAAGGATGTGCCAAGTACTTGGGGACCACAAAAGAAAACAAGGAACTGCCCATCTGGGCTGTGAGGGAGACCCTGACAGCAGTGGTGGCATGTGAGCTCAGAGGAGCAAGGGTCACACCAGGCAGGTGTGTTGAGGAGGGAGCTGCTGCTGCAGAGGTAGAGGTGGGAGAGCTTGCGTGTGTCAAAAAAGACCACCATGCAGTGTAGCTGGGCCCGGGTACAAGTGAACAGCAGCTGGATGAAACTGGAAGGCCAAGCAGGTTAAGCGCCTGAACACGGCAGTTACAGCAGAGCACCAAGCTGCTGGTGGCTTTCAGCAGCTCTGAGGCAGGACCTGCGCCTTCCCAGTCAGGGTGGATTGCTGGCCTTAGACATGGCCCTGTAGTTGGCAGGCATCTTAACCTTGGTGGAGCACAGTGGTTACAGGCATGGAGCCACTCTTCTTGGTTTGAGCTCTGGTTTCCTGCATTCCAATCAAGAAACTGTTGAGCAACTTCCTGAAGGTTCCTGGGCCTCAGCATCCCTGCCTACAAATGCAGACATGTGGAGTTGTTTTTACATTTAAATGAGCTAGATGATTGTCATTTCTTGATATTAGCATGTGTATTAAGTCACTGCTGTTGCTACTGCCTGCAGCCACCACCACTCCTGCTACCACCACTACCAAAACTCAGAAGACATGTGCCCATGCTGCTAGAGGGAGATGACATTTAAACATAATTGAGCCTGACATATCGATACTTTGGGCCCAGCTGAAACACTTCAGGAGCTTTTGTGAGATAACAAAACTATATGGAGTGAGGTTCTGTGAGTTCTGTGTGAGTTCTGTCTTGCTGGGCTAAGACACCATTACCAAGGCAGCTTACGGAAGAAAGAGTTTATAGGCTTACTGTTTCAGGGGGTTAAAGTCCATGGCCGTCATGGGGGCAGGGGGAGCATGGCAATAGGAGGCAGGCATGGCACTAGAGAGTTTACTAGGAATGGCATTGGCTTTTGAAATCTCAAAGCCCACCCCAGAGACACACTTGCTTCGGCAACACCACACCTCCTGATGATTCCCAGAACAGTCCCACCAGCTAGAAAGCAGTCATCAAACATGAGCCTGTGGGGGCAATTTTCATTAGAGTGTTCCTGTCCAGCCAAGGCCCTCCATGTGTGTATTTTCTGACAGGAACTATTAAGGGGAAGACAAACATTTTTGTTAGATACTAAATCCTTTCAAAGCAAGTGCTTAAATTAAAACAGCTTTTACTATAGTCACTGTGGCCTCACAGTCAGTGCAGCCCTCGTTTTCAGGTAAGGTAGTCATGAACTGTCATGAGGAGATAGCTTCTTGGGGTCACATGGCGTCAATTCAACATCCCCAATGGACTGAATGAATGTTGTTGTTGAGGTTGGAATGGAGCCTGCCAGTTTGGGTGTGTGGATACAGAGTTAGTATGACTGGTTAGCAGTTGACAGCTGTTGATGTGTAAGCATGCACAGATCTGAAGCAGGCAGCTACAGTGCTTACTAGACCTGAAAGAAAGGCATCCTTGACCCGAGGGCGTCAGCATTCACACAGCCTCCCCCACCCCACCCCACCCCCACCATACTGAAGTTGTTTTGGTGGATTTTGAATTTTTTTTTTTTTTTTACGATTTTATTTATTATGTATATAACATTCTGCTTCCATGTATATCTGCACACCAGAAGAGGGCACCAGATCTCATAACGGATGGTTGTGAGCCACCATGTGGTTGCTGGGAATTGAACTCAGGACCTCTGGAAGAGCAGTCGGCTCTCTTAATCTCTGAGCCATCTCTCCTGCCCGGATTTTGAACTTTTGATTATACAGTTATTTGCTCTGTATACAACTGACTGCTCAAGTTGCATGCATTGTATAGTTGCTTGTAGCATGACATGTTGAGTCCCAAAGTTGTACAGGATTCAGGGCTTAGGGTGGCATCTAGCACCTCATAAATAGATACACACACACACACACACACACACACACACACACACACACATTCAGGGCTTAGGGTGGCATCTAGCACCTCATAAATAGACACACACACACACACACACACACACACACACACACACACGCTCCTTAGGAATCTCTTCTAAGGCAAGTGTCTGCCTCCTGTGACCTTCTGGGACTTCTGTCTCCACAAGTGGGTCTTTCTCAGCTTTTCCTACCCCTCAATATGTGGACAGAACCTGGTATGGACTTAGGGTCCTTCCAGGCCTGCAGACACAGGCCACTTTGTTGTCCCATCTTAAAGTAAGCCATATTTGCTGCCTCCCCAAATACCAGAGTATGTCTTTGTGTCTTCAAGCTCTTAGTTCATTCTCACTACATCCCTGGGAGATGGTATCCCAGACACCTTCCCTGCTCTCTGGACCAGGGAGCCAAAGCTCAGAAAGAAAGTAATTGCCCAGAAATCCCATAGCCATTGCTGAAACTCAACACTGGAACCAAGTTGTTTGCATAATTGTGTTTTCTGGGTGCTAAAAAGCAAACATGCGTGCCTCAATTTCTTTTATTCACTTCTTTCCACAGAGGAGTGTTTTTGTTTTCTCTTGTTTAGTTTTGTTGTGTTTTTAAAGACAGAGTCCTCTATAGCCAATGATGACCTTAATTCTCTTGATTCAGTAGGAAGCATTTAGCATAGAGTCCTGTGAGGCAGGAGGCAGGGTTCTAACCCAGCTCCCCTGCTGCACTGCAGAGCTCAGGGTTTGTTTCTTTCTTCACTGCTGTTCTAGACTCTGAAATGGCAGGGCTGGTGTAGATATACTATTCCACAGGGAAGGCATGGGAACAGAAAGGTATTTAGTGAAGTAGTGGGTAGGTCATGCCTGCCAAGCATATTGCAGCATGCAGGCGAAGCCTACACATGAAGAACTACTTCAAGCCAGGGCGGTGGTGGCACACGCCTTTAATCTCAGCATTTAGGAGACAGGGGTAGGTGGATCTCTGAGTTTGAGGCCAATGTGGTCTACAGAGCAAGTTCTAGGACAGCCAGGGGCTTCACCTGTCATATCAAATGCATTAAGGTAGAAAACAGATTTCTAATTTTCTGAGCCAGAGCTTTTTTTTTTTTTTTTTTTGAGAAGCAGTACTGTTTTTTAAACTGTTCTAGAATGTACTAAATTTTCTAGGAATATAATTGTGGCATATATCAAAATATTCTGTTTGTAACTTGACTGTCACTTGTTTTCTGTTTTGGAAACCCCTATCTCTAACATTGTAGCTGTGATATTTTTGTTACCCAGATGACTTCCTGTAACAAATCCATCTGTGGCAGCCACGTTTCCTCAGAGTCTGTGGGCAGGTGCAAGCAGCTCCCTGGTTCTCTCTCTTGCTGTAGGTGTGTCTGACCTTTTACTTATGCAGTGGACGCTTTATTATAGATCACTTCTCTGCCTCCCTTTACAGAACACTTAAGTCACTACCCAGATTTTTCTCATCTATATAGAGCAGTTGTATAATCCCCAAATTGCATTTCAGGGTAATACAGAAGACATTTCAAAATGTTGGTTATAAAGAAAAGCTTTGATTCTGAGAGGCTAGAGAACTGCTTGGCATGGAAGCTATATAAAATCAGACTCCCTCCTTGTTCCATATCTGTGCTTTCATTTTATTATCACCTAGCAGTACCCCATCCCACAACGGGGAAAACTGAGTCTCAAAGGGAGGAAATGTGGCAAGCACTTGGTCCCAACCACTTACTGACTTAACTCTATAAAGGAAACAGAGTGAGAAAGAAAATTGCTTTCCATTAATCTTGAGATAGTGGGTATGATAGTTTGAAAGAAAATGACCTCCAAAGGGAATGGTACTATTAGGAGTTGTGGCTTTGTTGGAGTATGTGGAGTATGAGGAAGTGTGTCACTGTGGAGGTGGGCTTTGAGGTCTCATATGCTCAAGCCATACCCAGTGTCTCAGTTCACTTCCTGTTGCCTTCTGATGAAGATATAGCCAGCACCGTGTTCTGCCTGCATGCTGCCATACTCCCAGCCACCACATTCCCTCCCATAATGGACTAACCCACTGAAACTGTAAGTGCCACCTCAGTTAAATGTTTTCCTTTACAAGAGTTGCTGTGATCATGGTGTCTCTTCACAGCGATAGAAACCTTACCTAAGACAGTGGCTATCAGAGGAAAAGAGCATGGTGGAAGAACCAGTCTACCTAAACTCAAATTTCTGTTTTGCTGCTTGGGCCCTGATCATGTGGCTACATCTGCAGATGGTCATAACGCCATGCACCAGTGGTAATTATGTGACCTGACTGTTGTGTAAGGTGCCTTGTGCTAGGAGATGTCTTTAAGGGCTATTCCCCACTCTAAGCCACTCTGTCCCCACATCCAGCATTGTCTCAGACTACTTCAGGTCTCTCAAAGCTCACCACAGACATCTTATAATAATGTTATTCCAGGAGAGCAGGGCCGGGATGGAGCCTAAAGCAGGACACCTAGGTGATGGGACTTTGCCCCCTTCCCCCTCGAAGCTTCAGCTGACATTTCCAAAGGCAGATGTCCAGCCCCAGGTGGGCTCTGCTGAGTTGAAGCTTGGGAAACCTTCTGTTTC